CTACTGGTTCATTCTCACGACCATATTCTATTTGAGGAGCAGTGAACTGTGTTGTGTATAATAAACTTTTTACTACATTTTCGCAACCAGTATCAAGTCGACGATTAACAATTTTACCAAAGTTGGAGGCAGTTAAAAGTTTTCTCCTCGTATCAAACCACTTTACGTTTTGATACTGATCAATAGTTTGAAGTTCAATTTGTTCACGTTTTTTCACTAGGCTTCTCATTTCATTTAACACTTCCTCTTTTTGTTTAGAAAACTCTTCCTTGTCCATATCTGGTTTGCTGGCTTCATTTCCGTATGAAATATCAGTATTATTGTTTTTAAATAATTGTTTCCGAAATCGCTTAGTTTTAAATCTCGATTGGTTTTGTCTTTCTTGATTTTCTTTCTGCAACATTTCAAGAACTTTACAATTACTTTTTTTAAACGGACTATTTATATACAATGCTTTATGTAGCGAATATATTGGGCGTTTATTATTTTTACTTACGGTAGCTAACAAACAACTAGTATAATATGAATTTTTCAAAGCATAATTAACTCGTTTACCTCCTATAAATTTCGCAACAATTGAATTAAATGACTCAACTATGTTACTGTCAACATCCTGTAATAAGCTTGAACTATGTCTTGCTAAGTTCCTTAAAATGTTGTTCAACGCCTCGTAAAATTCATAATCCCGAGGATATTATTTTTTCAATATAATTTGCACCAATTAATTTTTTTTTATCACAAAAATACTCAGCACATGCCTCATGGTTACCAAATACATGATGAATCGTATTCATAATATCACTTCTTAAATCACTGACTGAATGACGGTTCGATTTTCTGTAACTAATTGCACAAACAATACCTTTTCTGATACGTAATATATTATTACTTAGTAATTTTCTGTGTTCTAATTAACCAGCTGATCTTTTTGTTGAAATATCCCTTAATTTATTACACAGATTCCTAAGTAAATGGTTTCAGCACTCAACTTTTTCTACTGATATATTTTTATAAGGTCTTAATTCTAAAATTTTTTGATAAACACTACTGTCACCGTCTGCTATTAGCTTATGATACCGTAACCCGTACATTGCTTCACTATTTTTAAATCCTTCAACTATTATAGAGGCTTCCATTCCCGATAAGCTACTTGTCACTAGCCAGTTTCTTGAGCATTTATGAGGGGATGGTTCATTACTACGTGCACAACTTGAACAGTATTTATTTCTAACCCCAAGATACAACACTTTTTTAGTTCTGTAACCGATAATGGCAGCCTAAAATAAAATGGTTTGTATATAATTATTATTTTGTCAAAAAATATATTGTTCACATAAAAATATAATAAATTACAAATAAAATTTAAAATTTATTTAAAATTTACTACACGATTTCATATAAATTATTCTTATTGTAATTAAACAATACTGCATAAAATGCGTACCATAGTCGATAAATTTTTTTTACAAGTGTTTGAATGTTGAAAAATTTCATTTTGTAGTTTAAAATTGTATAAAAAAATCAAAGAATGATAAATTTCTCTTAATTACTTTTAGTTAATCATATAAAAATATAAAAATATTTATTATAATGTAAAATAACCTAAGCTGACCACCGTTTTTCGTCGTATGCAATATTTATTAAATTGTAAAGCTTTTTTATTCACACTCACAAACCAAAAATAATTTCTAACTCCGTTCGAATCTGATAATTTAATTTGACTTTCCGGTTGACATTTTTTGACAAACTTATGACGAATCTTGCATTAAATTTTTTAATCTTAGATTTAAATAGAAAATTATTTATGAATTTCTAACTCAAAATAATTAGTACATTTTTGTTATTTTTACGAATTTTGTGAAAATTTGAACTTTCAAAGCTTGTAAAAAAATTGAGACCTCACCAAAACACGAATTACATTTACTTTCCAACCAGAAAAACTACTGAAGTCGAAAATCAAAGCATTATATTTTTACGCACATAATTATGTGCATATTTTGTACTTGTTAAGCGCATTATGTAACGAGAAAGTACCTGTGTAATATAATAAGTAATAACTACTATACAATAATTAATAATAATAATAATATATTAATAATTATTATAATTTTTTGTAGATTCCTTATATTTATATAAAAACTTACCACTCCTGATAATTAATTATATTGAGTTCTATATGATATTTTGCACCAGCTTCCATCTGCTACAACAGAAATATGAGGAATGCCATCAGGGCCAACTTCTCCTGATTCAATTACCAATTGTGCTTCTTCTCGAGCGGCTTGTTCCATATCTTTAGTTGCAGCAATTTCGTATCCTTCAAATATTTTATCATGCTCCTTTTTATATGTGTTACCAGACATACATGGTATTTCAAAGAGTTGAGGAAAATTGCTGTAAGTGTGTAAATCCACAACCATTTAACATTGTCCCAGCCACAGCAGCTGTGTTAATTTGCATTATTTCAGAGTCTAAGCTGTTTCCTTCTGTTGACATTTTTGAACTTTTTCCACACATTGAACACTTAAAATGGAAAACTGAAACTAAACCATGCATTTGTTCATGAATTAGTACCATATCATTGAACAAAAGGAGAGTGGTCGTTTGCTTTTTTAATTTCCTCGAAGAAATGGTTGATATTTATGATTCTTCTTCCGTACACCGCAAAATTATATTGTTCTTTAGTTGGTGAAATACTTACAGTCAGTTCATAATCGTGTACTGAAGATGTAGATTGTACTGGTAAAATCGACATTTTTTCTGTGTTATATTGACAATATCTTGAACAGGGGTTATTTGTTGCTAAGTTCATCTGTAAAGTACTTGTTGGACTTGTGGTTTCTTGTACGGAGGATTCCTATTATACAAAATATAGGTATAAAAAGTACAAACTGCTACAAAAATTTAAACAAACAACTTTTTGGTTAAAATTGTGTGAATTTAATTTATTTCACAATTAGATACAATAATTATTTATTATGATGATTAAATATTGTTTATTTTGCCTCGACAGAAAAAGAACTCGATTATTATATAATAATAAAATTGAAAATATCTTTAAGACCAAGTTTTTAGTGAATTTAAAATAAAAACAGATTTTTTTTTTGTTCTTTAGAATATAGAAATACATTCTCTAATTATAAGAAAATATAACTAAATTAATGTTCATAATAACATATTACAAAATACAATTCATTTTTCATCATAGGTAGCTAGTTAGTACATTATACCATAGGTACTATTATACATATACTATATAATAGACCGTATAGTATAGACAAATAGATAATTGATTTATGTTTATTTACCTTTGTTACATTTTTATCTTCACGCCATTTTAATAAAGACACAATATTACCACACATTTTTTTATTTTTTGACGGAAAATGTTTTTTTGTTTTCGTGCTATAACGCCATTTTTGGTTCATTGCAGTGTAATAAGATCAGTTTGCAAGAATTTAAAATCCACTATAAATATAAGGTTTATAATATGTTCCTGATCGAATACACTATTTCACGAGTGACGTCTGAGCATCTGACAGCTAAACAAGAATTGTGTGTAATTTCAATGAATATTGCCATATTTATAATATACGATATTAGTTTACTGATTATAGTAATATTATACTTCTGTAATCTGGTGGATTGGGTAGTAATTAGTAATTACCTTAGTATATTATATTATTAGTTTTCTGGTAATCGTTTAATATTGTGACCGCGCCGCGGCAGTTATCGCGCACCGGCTAGAGCCGCCGTCGCCGCAGCACGTTGGATGCCACTCTCGTACGCGCATGCATATGTCAATAACTCGATAATCATATAAAATTCACTATATGAATTTTTAAACATCTGACTCATTGGTTTGACAAAATTAAAGTTAGTTTACGTTGTCCGATTTTGATTCTGTAAAAATTTTTGAATTCAGCAGAAAAATGTCTGAAGGACATAGGAACTGCTTTCTGCATGAAAAATTGGAAGCCTTGTTTTTCTGTTGTTGATAACGGAAGATTATCTTTTGTAACCATATAGACTCACTAGTCTATCCGTGATGGCTCGTGTCTTATATCCTCCTTCTAAAACAATTTAGACAATTTATTATAATTTTATAGTTAAGAATTAAAAAATGTACTCTTACTATCATAAGATTTGATGTTCATAATGGACTCAGATATTGTGCTCTGCCTAGTCAGACTTAAGTCCGCTGACTGTGGAGTATTTGAAGAGGATGTGGTTTGTATTGACTGAACAGATCCACTGCCACTGAATGACGCCATGGAATCATTGTCAACAATACCGGACGAAGTCGAAGATGTAGAAGCAAAATTAAGGGTCCGTTATATTTGTTGAGTCTATATTAAAAAAAGAAATTGGTTAATGTTGTAAGCACATTATTAGTAATATTGCATCTTGGTATCTTACCTTATTTACAATGGTTCTAGCTACCTCAGCAAGATCATTGTCATCAGGATCGTCGACATTTTCATCTTGTGGTTTTGTGGAACTAGTTGATGCCACTGACTGAGAAGATATTCGACGAACCTTACTGACACCCTTGCTTTGTGCAATTGAAGGATGATTTCTTTTAATGTGGTTGCGTATATTGGTTGTGTTACCACACGATTTGACTGAAGCGTGACATAATTTGCATGTCACAACTTCTACATTTGACGTTTTTTCAAAATATTCCCAAATCACACTCCTGGGTTTCGACGACATCATGTGCGATTGTGCAAAGCGAACTGCAAAAACTTAAGTACCACGTGCGATTGTACGGACTGCGAAAACTAAGCAGGACTACGGAGTTCGGAGTTCGGATTCGGAGTTTGGAGATGCGACGTGCGAACACTACGAAGTACGAGAACGAAAAGATGGACGAGCGTCTCATTGCAGCTTGGCAAATTGGCTGCTGCGCGCGCAGCTCCCCTTATCATACCATTATCACCGTTACTTTCAAATATTGTAAATATATCAAGAATCGCTATAGCCCCCCCCGGCCCCAAAAAACTAATGATTTTACTAACATGATACACATAATACATTGTAATTTCGAATTTTCGAAAGAAATATCACTTTATGCGCATTATTTATTAATGAAATAAAAGATGCTGGGATGTTTAGTATCCAATGTGATGAAGCTCGGTAATGAAAAATTATCTACCTCATATAAAAAAGTTTTTTGTTTATAACATATGTTTATAATATTCTAGATGCCACCACGAAGAACAACTGGTAATATGTATTCGGTATCCAAAAAACTTGAGCGTATGTGAACGATTTGTTGAATTTGTAAACGTTTCTAAAAAACAAGATGCAGATGCTTTAGTTAAAGTTTTACTTAATTTTATCCATAAATCAAATTTGAGTGAAATTCCTATAATAGGAGTCCTATGACGGTGCTGCTGTTATGTCGGGTTCAGAGGGTGGGGTTCAAAGTAAACTGAGGCAAAACCATCCACCAGCATCAAAAGCTATATATATCCATTGTATGGCACATAAGTTGAACCTTGTAATAGTTGATATGTGCAAAAATTTAAAGGTATACATTTTGAAATTTTTTATTTTACCTATATTCGATTAATTTGTTTAATAATTAATAATTTTTTAGGATGCTAGAAGTTTGTTTAATGGATTACAGGCTCTGTATGTTCATTTTTCCTATCCAACTACTTATAGTTATTAGTTATACTTATTAGTTGTTGAAATAGCAATTACATTGCCCGTAAGTTCGTCCACTTCTGAGAGGTCATTTTCAACAATGCGAAGAATAAACACCTACTTAAGATCTACTATGTCCCAAAATCGGTTCAGCAATTTGGGTATTCTTAATATTGAGAAAGATATTGTTGTTGACGTGGAAGAGATTCTAAATAATTTTAGTAAAACCTAAAGGAGAATTAAGTTATTGTAATTAGGTTTACTATAAGAATAATAAAAAAAAACTGATGTTAAAAAATAATAATAATGTTGTTAATATAGTTTTTATATTATTATGTGGATTTGATTTTTGATGGTATATAATATATAATATATATTATATGTACCTATATCTTTATATTTATTTGTAATTCAAAAATGTTTAGGTGTTAATTACTTGTATAAATGCTTCATTCAGTAGCTAGGGCTTCAGCCCCCCCAAATCTCAAACGCTATTTGGGCCTATGTAATTTAATAATATTAAAAATAAAACTTTATATAAAAACAACCAAATTATAAACATTCAAATTTATAGTAATAGGTATCTAAAATTTAAAAATGTACAAATTTCTACTAAGTTTGAAATATTGATTAATTTATAATATGTCAATAAAAATTATAAACTCATAAATGAATAGTTGCAATTCTATTAAATGCTATATGAATAATAAACTAATAAACACTATTATTATAGTTATTTTTATATTGCTTTAGTAAACCTAGTACATTTTATAACATTAACATAGTTAATATACAAATTTTAGTTTAGGTTATTATTATACAAATTAGTTAACTGAATCATACCTTATAAAGTTATACACTTATACCTATATTTAAATGGCTAAATAAATATTTAAAAGATGTAATTTGTTTTTTATAAATAATACATTTCTTAAATAGGAAATATTCCTAGTTACTTGTGTGTACATATTTAGATATATGGTGTTTTATTCAAGTCCAGATACTATATTATTGATTGATATACAAAATATTTGAAAATTTAAAATAATACATAATAACAAGAAATTTCCAAGTCATAAATCTTCTAAAAATAAGTTATTAATCTCAGACCAATGTTTCTGACACAATCATTTTTCATAATCTTCATACTGTGTTAATACTTATTGTGATTTTCATTAAGCTAGTATTTTATTTTTGTTTGTATCTTGGCATCTGAGCATCATGTCATCTAGTGCACCTGAAATTAAATGTTCAATTTGTGATACAAAGTTTACACAAAAAAAAAATCTTTATGCTCACTTAAGGAATATACACGGTAGTGATTCTTTAAATGTAAATAATTTTATTTGCACAGTTTGTGAGAAAACATTTAAAGTTCAGAAAACTTTAGATACCCATATAAAAAAATATCATAAAAATGGCGATAAAAATAGAGAAACAAGAATAATTTGTCCTTATGATGAGTGTAACGAACCTTTGTTTAAATTTTCAAAATTAAGGATTCACCTGTTTGAAAAACATAACATTACTATAGAAGTAAAAGAACTAAGTTTTTCGACCATTGCAGGTAATACTTTTATGAACAATAATAAATTAATGATATCATATTAATATTTAATACTAGGTATTTTAAATTTTGTTGCGCAATAACATGTTTAGGTATATAATATTTATTTTTTAATATAGAATTTGAGAAATGGAAAACGGAGACAGAGCAAAAAAAACATTTTCGAAGTTTATACTTGATAGAGCTGCAATAAAATTAAGTAACGGCTGTACTAGGTCATATTATTATTGCCATCGATCATTTAACAATCGAAAAACCAAAAATGAAATTGAGAAAGCAAGAGAGACAAAAGCTATAGGGACTAATAAAATAGATGGAACATGTCCATCTATGATCAAACTAACAATGCAAGAATGTGAAGAGACAGTACAAATTGAATTTTGGGAAAACCATTATGGCCATGAACTAGAAATTGGAAGAATTGGATTAGACAAAGACATAAAGTTAAATATTGCAGGTAATTATAATAATTATTACCTCTTTTCAGTTTTCTTGGAATTTTAAATATTTAAAATTTTTTCTAGCTAAATTGAAGGAAGGAGTTACCTTTGAACACATCATAGATTTGATTCGTGATGCTGAAGTAACTGATGACACACATAGACGATCTCTTCTTTTGGAACGGAAAGATCTACAGAATATTTCACGTGATTTCAATATTAACTACGCTACTAAGCGGCATACAAATGATGCAATCAGTATAAAATTATGGGTGGAAGAAATGAAAATGCTAGAAACACAATGTCCAGTTTTATATTACAAGAGTCAGGATGAGAATGATTGGAACGGAGAGGAAGGAATCTTGAGTAAGCATGATTTTGTATTAATTTTAATGACAAAGTTCCAACAAGAAACACTACAAAAATTTGGCCGTGATAAAATTTGTGTGGATGGTACTCATGGAACTAATGCATATGACATTCAGTTGTATACTGTTGTCACCGTCGATGAATTTGGATCCGGTTGCCCAGTTGCGTTTTGTTTATCAAATCGATCCGATGAGCTAATTTTTCAATTATTTTTTGAAAAAATCAAATTCAATGTAGGAGTTATTGACTGTAAAGTTTTTATGACAGACGATGCTCCTGCATTTTATAATGCTTGGATTGCTATAATGGGACCGGTTGAACATAGACTTCTGTGTACTTGGCACGTCGATAAAAACTGGAGACAGAATTTATCTAAGATCAGTGGTGGATCAGAGAAAAAATCAATTGTTTATAAAACACTGCGAATATTATTACAAACCACATCCATTGAAGAATTTAAAAACAATCTCCAAAATGTCATAAGAGATTTAAAACAAGACAAAGACACCTATACATTTGGGGTTTATTTCAAAAAATATTACTCAAAACGACCAGAATGTTGGGCTTATTGCTATCGACTAAGACTTGGGATTAATACAAATATGTACTTGGAATCATTTCATAAAGTATTAAAACACATATATTTGGAAGGAAAGAGAGTAAAACGTTTGGACAAAACAATTAATGCTCTGATTAAATATTCCAGAGATAGTCTATACAAACGTTTGATTAAGTTGTCAAAAAATATCCCTACTGAAAAAGTCCAAAGAGTACGTCAAAGTCATAACTCAAGTAAATTAATTAAACTAGAACAAATACAAATTGTGGAAAACAAAAAAGTATATATTATCAAATCATTATCCAATCCCTCACAGCATCACTATATTATAAAAACTGATGAAACATGTACACAGTCATCATGTTTGAAATGCAAAAAGTGTGATATTTGCATTCACACATTTCATTGCTCTTGTATTGATAATGTTATTAAAGCAAATATTTGTAAACACATACATGCTTGTGCTCGCGAGTTTATAAGTTTAGATGGCAATACTGAAAACACTGTTTTTCAAGACTCAAATATGAAAGAGCAAAAAACGTTAATGGATATGGTTGCAACTTCTAGTCACCATAAAGCTCACAAAAATCAAACAATCATAAGCCAAACACAAATGATTTTGGGTCTGAGTTCAACAAATGAATATAGTAATGAAAACTTACAAAAAATTGAAAAAAAGTTGGCAGACGTTTTGGCAATCATGAATGAAGGAGGACAAACTCACTTAAAAACAGTTGAAGAAGTCAATGTTCAAAGGAAAATAGATCCACAGCTTCGGCTTTATTCAACAAAAAAGAAATCCAGCAAAACATCAATAGCAAAGCCTTCTGTAAATGAAGTAAATGCAATTATTTCTGGACTTAAAGATGACAATAATGAGACTATAAATGTTCATAATGTATTTGATCATTCATATTCTTAAAAGTACTAAACAATATTACTTAAAAACTTACCAATTATTACTTTGTTATTAATATTTAATTTGATTGATCATTTTTGTTCTGATATTGACATACTTATATAAAGTTGTACATTTTTACTAGGTACATTAGTTCATATTCATATTGTTTGTTACTTGGATACACAAATATTATATTTAAATATACAATAAATTATTAAACTATACAAGTACTAGTCATTATTACTAATTACTTTATTATTAAATAATATCAGTTTATAACATAGACATAATATAAAACAATTGTTCTATATATCTATGGTTTATAATGGTGATAACGGTAATAATGGTATGATAAGGGGAGCTGCGCGCGCAGCAGCCAATTTGCCAAGCTGCAATGAGACGCTCGTAAAGATGGCTAGTCCGGCCAGCGGCTGGCGGAAAAAATGTGGTTATGCAGGGTGGCCAACATCTCCGTCAAAATATGCACGGTACCAATCGGCAGAAAGGCAGTAAGCCAGTAGCGATAAACGAGGAAAAAAAATTGCCGATTCTTATCAAATCGAATCGAATCGAGTCGACGGTAGGTGTAGGCTGGTAAAATACGGCCGCTATGGACACCGTGCAGACAACGGAAAACGGCGCTGCCTAGTGGACAATTTACAAACAAGTAGGGAGCAATAGTTTCATACTCAATAGGTACTCTTCAATATAAGGAAATTTTTTCCCTCGGATAATTTTCGTAGTTTTGTGGTTTGTAAAACTTGTGAGGTACCTTTTTTTATTAACGAATTGGCCCTTTAGCTTATACTATATGTTTATTTGTATTGTTTTATTTGAACTTAATTTTAATAATGAGCAAAAATAAAAAGAAAAGTGGTCAAAAAATGTGTTGTGTTGTGTAGTAATACATATCGAACTGGTCATAAATTATTTAACTTTCCAAATCGACAACACGAAAAAGAACTTAAAGAAAAGTGGGTAAAAATAATTAAAAGAATGAATTTTGTATTGTTTTTGTCTTCCATATTGTGCTTAATATTCTAGTTCTTTTAATTTCTCTATCAATAATTTTGTGTATTTGTATTCTGCACTCTGTAGCATTGATGGAACACCATGGATACCTACAGCCAATACAGTTATTTGTAACGACCATTTCGTTGGAAATTAGCCAATAAGACATCCAAATAGTCCTGCGTAAATTCCTACCATTTTTCCAACTGCATACAAAAATCAGAAGGTTAACAGTAATCAACAGGACTCCAGATATCAACGTTTTTGCAGCCTTGAAGCTGTACTACAACTAGTGTTGAATGTAATGCAGATGCCAACCAAAGTCAATCAAATGATATTGTAACGCATGTAGGAGTACAAGTTTTGTTAGATGTTTCAGATGTAAAAGAATTTTCATTTGAGTGTTCCTTTTTTAATGACAACTGTAGTAATACTTAAAAATAACTGCACCAAATAATTTTATTCTTGGGCAAAAAAAAAATGTTAATGATAAGTCTTGTAGTCCTAA